GGGAGCAAAAACGTGGACTGGCAGGAAGCTGAAAGGGAGCAAAAACATGGACTGACAGGAAGCTGAAAGGGAGCAAAAATGTGGACTGACAAGAAGCTGAAAGGGAGCAAAAACGTGGACTGGCAGGAAGCTGAAAGGGAGCAAAAACATGGACTGACAGGAAGCTGAAAGGGAGCAAAAATGTGGACTGACAAGAAGCTGAAAGGGAGCAAAAACGTGGACTGGCAGGAAGCTGAAAGGGAGCAAAAACATGGACTGACAGGAAGCTGAAAGGGAGCAAAAATGTGGACTGACAAGAAGCTGAAAGGGAGCAAAAACGTGGACTGGCAGGAAGCTGAAAGGGAGCAAAAACATGGACTGNGCTGAAAGGGAGCAAAAATGTGGACTGACAAGAAGCTGAAAGGGAGCAAAAACGTGGACTGGCAGGAAGCTGAAAGGGAGCAAAAACATGGACTGGCAGGAAGCTGAAAGGGAGCAAAAACATGGACTGGCAGGAAGCTGAAAGGGAGCAAAAACATGGACTGCCTGGGGGTTCCCAAGGACCAAACTCAGAAACACTGACCTATCCCACAATCCTCTGCTCTGGTGACATAATGACACATGAGCCCATGTGGAGCTTATCCCAGGAAGTGGAGGTAGAGAGGCATGGAGCAGCAGTCCATCACGAGACAGACACCTGATGGGGGAAATTCACCTACTGCTAAAATAACGGTTACTTTCAGAAACACATTTACAATCACCATCATCCATTAAGGATATTTTCGGCTCATATATGCCCAGGTAAAAATCAGCAGCAGGAGTTCATTGAAAAATGTTACATTTTTCTAGGCCTTGTTCTACCTACAGAAATGTCTGAGGACTCAGAGTACTCTGTTTATTTAGGTTGCTTTTACTCTGCACAAATAACAACGATGCGGAAACGCTGCACACAGAATATCCTGAGAGGATTATTAGCAACAATCATGGCGGCATAAAGGGGGGAAGGGTCTTTAATATTCAATCATAATTGGATTGGTCTGGGTTGGGGGCCCAAAATCTCTTGGAGCACCCCTGGCAACAGTCTAATAGAACTAATAAATAAATGTATTCTCTTTAACATTACTTTTTGCATCACATCAGGGTCTTTTTAGGAGCCAGAGTTTCATGTCTGTAATAATAACATAGATAAGTCTGTCCTCCGTTTCGTATGTTTGGATAAGCAGGGCTTATTATACATGCATTAGGTGTCTTACACCATGAAAAGTAACATTAATACTTATTCACATAATACGATACAGTGTTCATGGGCCATTTAAAATAAGTGGGTGGCAGAGGGCTCATGCTGTTTTTATTGCTTTATAAGTTACATATGGAGTTATCCAACACCTGTTCCTTCCTTGCAGTGATGACTAAATCAATTAATTAATAAACTGAGAGCAAAACATACGCCACATACGTATCGGCCAACTAAATTATTTGTCATGCTGGTGATTATCTTAGGTCGGAACCAGCTATTCCGAACTACAGTGCCGGCCTGTTCCTGAAACAACGCCTCTCACTACCGGTTTGGCTATTATAGGAAAACGAGATTTTAAAAAACCTGACGTTTACGGGTCAGAACAAGTCGATCAGTCCTGCTGGTGGCGGACAGCGACATGTCCACGACCACCTACAAGCCTCAACACTTAATCCTTTGACAAGGTATGGAGAAATAACACGGTGGGGAGACAACAAGGCACGTATGAACCGGATCCGGCTTTCAGTCTAATTAAGACAACAAGACGGCACAGTAATGAGGCTCCGGGCGGTCAACCAGTAATATCTGTGTCTGCAGGACAAGGTGCACGCTGACACGCGGGGGTACCCCCCCACCACCCTTCCCTTGTCATCATCCTTTCCCATTTACACTTCCAGTCGCATTGTCGGAAAAATGGCTGCCGCCTTCCACCCCCCGCCTCCTGCCATAGCGTCCCTCCTCGGTGCACACACGCCTTACTCGGGGGCCGGCGGAGCAGAATCCCACACCGGATTTCGACTGATCGCGGGACAGGGGCCCTCCGCTCTTACCTCGGAATTTCAGTTCGTGTTGAGGCTCTAGCAGCAGGACCTGCTCTTGCCTGGCCATGTCCCAGCGTTTCGGCGCAGTTTAATATTATCACTCTTATAATCACAGTTACTACGAGAAGCCTCAGTGCGCCGGTGCTTTAACGGTGCTGCCGCTTTTGGGCGTCGCTGCCTACTGTTGTTGTCGTTATTATGGTAATTAGCTGCGATTATCTTTTCTCCCACTTTGCCCAGCAAATAGGATGAGTGCGACTCGAGCGGCTAGCAGCTGTGATGATGCAGCAGGAAGGAGGTGAGGGAGAGAGAGAGAGATTGGGAGAGAGAGGGACAGAGAGAGGGAGGCTTCCAGCGTGACGTCACAGCCTCCGCATCAGCCGCTCCTGGTAGAGGCGAGGGGCGATGCAAGGTGAGGACTGATCCCCATCTGCTCTTATCACGCATCCCTGTTAGTTTGCATCCTTCTTTATTAATATGGTACATCGTGAGGAGGAGTGGGCGCAGGTACTTAGCAAAATTAAAGGTGCTCGCCATGGATTTATTCTCTAATTTGGAAAATAATTCCATATTTATTTTTGCTTAAGTTAGTGCATCTGTGTTGCACTTTGTACATTCAGGTTATTGTGGTGACATCATTATTAATGTAAAGCTTCTCAGTTTAAGTACCTTGTCTTTCATCCAGCAGCATAGCCCCATCTGGGAAGCGGCAGCCGTTTTGGTGAAGTTCACATCTGCCATCTGTTGGCCTGCAGGTAAAAGGCCAGGTGGGGGTGGGGGGGGGGGGTGGTCACACACCCGAGGAACTGAGAGCACCTGGCGAACACTAGGCTGAAAATACCATCCTGTATCAAAGACTTGTCTGAAGGTCCAGTGCTGGGGTGCTTGAGAGACCGGAGCTGAATGCTGGTGTCCAGTGCCGCACTATTTAAACTGCAGGACAGAGGCGGGTATGCCGGAACACTCCGGCAACACAGCCAGCACATTCCTGTGAATCTCCCGTCAGCCTGTCCCACCAAACAAACACTGCACAATCAGGTCATTAGAAGTTTGTTTTCTTTATTAGTAAACAACTTGACATCTCCCTTTTTACACATTCATGGTAACATAAAAGTTATGTAAGGCTTTCTCCCACTTATCATGAAATAGTAAAAATATTAAAGCTGAATATGACAAAAATCGTAGGTGCAAATGCAATGTCATATATAATCTGTGGCAAAAACAGATAATTGCAAATATCATATAGTACTTTAACCATATAGTAAGTGTTCATCCACATTTTTAATGGTATATACATTGAAACAGTACACAACATTAACTGGGATTTTGCAGAAGGGAGGGGGAAACTCTCAGGTCCAGCCCAAGACAGACTCGCGGATGATTTTCCAAAACAGTGTAAGCCACATACAAACAATACTTTAGAAACTTCCGAAAGTTACTCTAGTAAACAGTTTAAGCTAGTGTTGCGTTTGCTGAAGCTATATCCGTCCGAGACCAAAGCAGACGGACACAGACACTGCACACAATGACAACTGCTATGCACTGAGGATACCTTGCCACCATTCAGCATTGTGATTGCAACCTACTTTAAGAGTGCTATGCTACTTCTTTATATTAAAGACAGTTTTAAGTTGGCACAGAGAATGTTCATTGCTTCCAAAATATAAAATAGGAATATGAAAAAGAATTAAGGCTCAAATATCCGGACATGCAAAGCCATTTTTAAATAGAAAAATGCATGAGTCAGCTGGATAAATTCAGTTAATCTCCAATCACCAGTGCAGTATTTTCGCAGCTGCAAAAGGAGATGATGATGATGAATAAAAAGTCTTCAAGGAGAAGAATGTCTAATATTGAAGGAAATTCATTTCTAGTAAATATCACCCAAAGCATCCTTTGCTCAGTCTACTCAGCTTTTGGCTCATCATTGATCCAAAACACTAAGGACGGCACAGGACTTGCAAACCCTAACCACAAGTGCCAGGTGTGCAATAGGGTTAGTGGTACCAGAGATATTTTTAAGCTTTTTTTAAAAGCTCATCTTATCTACACTTACTTGTAAAACTGGATAATTCTTTTTGCATGAAAGTTTGAATACAATTCTTTGAAAAATAAACCATTTAGGCTGATAAAATGGATGAAGCGCGAGTAAAATGAGTAAAAAATGTACACAGAAATGTGTTGTAAGTCAGAGTATCCCTAATCCTGGCTCAGGGGAAGGCCAGCTTCTGGTACAGCGGACCTCAAACTGGGTTACTGAACAGCTCTGAGGGCTCACTGTATCCTTATCCCCCCCCCCCCCCAATCATTTAACGAGTCCCAAAATATTAAGAAACATTTTTTACTGTATTATTTTCTTAGAATTTAGATTTCTTTAATGTAGCAAACCAAATAACATGGCTGTGTTCGTATTAGAATACATCGTGTTTGTGTATATATGTAACATAAAATGACACAACCCTCAGAGGATGGAAAGATTTTGTGACATGTTATTGTCGTTATATTGGGAAAAAAAATCTGTTGCTACAAATACACCACACGAGAAATTAAGCTTTAAAAGGATGATGTCTAGATGTCGACGCCCAGAGAGATACGGTACTTACAAAACCCTCCTCCATACCATAATAATACAGAAAGCTTAACTTTCTTCAGAATGGACACAAGAGACATACTGTAGCTGCGCCTTGGTTCTTAGAAATACAAGACTACCTTCCATAAAAAGAACGTCTGAAATGGCAGAGGTGGCCCTCAAATGACACCAGGAATAGTGTAACACTACATGAAGTACGTGTGAAATACGAACGGCGATAAGAGGCAGTCAGAGTGAAAATCGACAACCAAACGCAGATGAAAGGAAAGAGGACTTGGGCATAAGGAAGAAAGTTCAGACACACACCTCTGGCAAGTGCTTGTCACATTCTACTATATTATGACCATATCAGCTGTTCTCCGACAGCCGTCACTAACCAGCGTGCCGGAATTCCCTTTCTTAGTTCATCTGTGACAGCTAACAAGGTATACCTTTTTCCCCTCTGTACATTTCAAGACAGCCCCGTGATTTACGAGCTTGATCACAGGAGAACTGAAGTTAGAGCCAACGTGTAAAACACAGCACACAATGTAACATGGAACACAGGGAAAAGACTGTCTGCTAGTAACCTGTGTCAGACAAAATGATCGTCTGACATTTTTTTTATTTTTTATTAAGACCTTTGATATCCAAGGTTTGTCCACCTTTTAAATGTTACATGTTAGGTTTCCCAATATTTAGCTTTTCATCTGTAGCCAGATAATAAAGTCACATTTGCTGGATGTGAGGGCCAACACTTATTCTGTGAAAGAAAGAAAGATAAAAACATTTATGGGACAATTAAAGCTTTGGCAGGACCTCACCAAATTACTTTCTCTAGTAAAATCACAGTAAAACCCAGCAAGGGATATAAGGGGTAAAATCACCAAATGCAAACAGTTAAAATGCCATTTTAAAAACATTCCCGATTAAATGGATACTGTAAAAGGGGAAAAAGGTTATTTTCTTAGCCACAATAGGATAATTCATTTCCAGGGTCTTTTCTACTGACTATTAAAGCTGAAATAAGGGAAACCTTTAAATATTTGGAAGAGAGATCACATTATATATCTGTAGCCTGTGAATCTGGTCAGCATGCTTACAAGCCAGACTTGTTACGATCCGAAGACACAAACCAGAAAACTCCAAACATAGGCTTCTCTGAGAAGAGGTATGGAAAGATAACCAAGCACTTAATTTTTCTATGACATATTTGTCAAACCTTCCATGTACAATCTAATTTGCCAAGACAGTTTTCTTTTAAAGTGCAGCAGTTTAAAAAAACATGACGGCTGACGGCAAAGAGCAAACTGGTATACCTGATAACCTAGACTGTGTAAAAAAGCGTTTCAAAATAAAAGCTCAAAGCAATTCAGTCTTATCAATCTCATAAATAGTTCAGTCATATTCCCTTTAAGAAAGTCACATTCACTTTTTCTCTTATTGTGTGTGTCAAGCTCCTTGCTTCGTCACGTCGGCTTTGGATCACATGGGGACACTGACATGTAACCTCACAGTTCTGCTGAGTTCCATCCATAAACAGGGATCTACCCGCTAAACACGGCCTTATGACGTAATAATGCACAGAAGGCAGGGTGATGTAGACAGAATTGATATTTTGTCCACTGTGAGGACTGGATCAAAACTAGATCAAGATTTGTTTTTTCAGAGCAGGACATTTTGGCGCAATACAAATTGACAACACAGTGCCTAACCTGTACAAGCTGAAAAGGATCCAAGAGTACGAGGAGAAAAAAAAAAAATTAACACAGTGCGATCCCTGTAGGTGACGTAGAGACTGCTGATGTCAAATGCAGACATATGATGCCAGAAGCTGGGTTTAAGGGATATGAAGAGAATAGTGCAGGAATAAATCTCATTGTGTTAGTTTTCCTCAAGTATTACTAGTCCAATAGAAATTGGAAAAGGGGGACAGGGGTCAGAGGCTCTGTAGCATGAAAGGTCTGGTCAGACTGTTAGCGTTGAGCAGCTAGAAACAGGGAGCTGGTTTAAAATGATGAGATTGGAAGACCTGGGTGGGGGACAGGCTCTGTCAGGGATTGGATGGGCATTGGTAATGCGGTCTTATGTCAGAGCTCGAGAGAGTGTCAACAGTGTGCAAAGAAAGTTTGTGACTTTTTTATGCTCAGCTGGTTGACCGTTGCTGTGCGGATGCCAACTGTCCTCCCCACAGGCCCAAAAACATTCAGTATTAACACACATGTCTAAGGGGAGGGGCAAAAATACCCCCCCCCCCAACCGGAGCAAACGTACGGCCATATACACATGCATAGTGCGGCGAAGGGGCTCCCTGACAGGGATCCGGGAGGGCTCTCCATTCCATGTCAAAGAGGTGGAGCGTGGGGGGGGGGGCGGTGGTGCGATGGGAAAGGTGTGGGGGGTCAGCAGCAGCTGCGACGTGTGTCAGATGGCTGTCGCCGCAACTTGAAGCCCTTTCCTGCTGCCGCTCCGCTGGCTTCGGCGACAGGAATTCTCTGACCTGAGTGAGGAACGACACACCATGTAATTACAGCCAACGTACAAGATGGCTACAAAGCGGTCTCATTCACTAAAAGGTTTTGGGGGGGGGGGATATTATATGACATACGTATTATTTTTCTTATGGGACTACATTACACCAGTACCTTAGTCGCTCCACTTTTGGGGCGCAAAGTTAAAGCCATTTATCCTGTCAGACCTGCTGATAATTGCATCCTTCCGTTTGCAGGGTCGGCGGCCTTGAAGCTGGCAGCTACACCTGCTTTGCTTGGGCCGTACGTTTAATAGAACGGTGAGTAGGGAAAAAAAAAAAACAGAAAAGGCCTTAAACCGCCAAGGACCTTGTGGGTTTTGGCGCTGAACTGCAAGTGAAGTATTCTGGCCATTTGTCAGGCTCTCAGTAACTTGCAGTTCCGTCTATAAGCACAGGGGTGTGCCAGATAACGACGATTCCCAAAAATCCTAAAAAAAAAAGTAAATGAGCTTAATTGCAATTTCTCACTTCTTCCAGGCTGTCTCTATAACCCGAAGCTGCCCAGAGACAGTGCTTCTTTCACAGCGTAATCCAGAGGGACAATGTGGCAGGAGACCATGGAGAGTGGGCTGACCGCGTACGCCTGGTTCCTGAACAGTGTCAGACTAACAGAGCTTAACTGACTGCAGGAAAAAGACCCACACAAAGGAGATCCCAACTGAAAACTTACTTATCTCTCTGAAGACCTCATTAATGTTAATTGCATTCTTGGCACTGGTTTCCACAAAGATGGCATGGATGGAGTCGGCGAAATCCTTGGCATCCTTCTCTGTCACTTCCCTGTGAAGAGAGAAGGTTGTGTTCACATCCCTAAGGGCAGGTGGCAGAAGGATGGGGCGCCTTTGATCAACTTCACAAAGATGAACAAATAAATGACTGAGTGAATGACAATCAGGACAATGTCAAAGGCGTGCACTGTGTTACACTACAGCCTGACAATGACTATGTAGTAGGGTGCAGTGCACCTTAAATGCAAACCTAAAATGACCTGACACCTAATCTGAGGGTAGTAGTTGACTGCAGCCGCCATTTATCACGCTAATGTCTCCTTGACATCACACAGTATGCAGTTTATGGGGTTCCTGCTGCCCCTGAAATCCAACCCATGGGCCACCGATCAAATTGCACATGGTGATCTCCGAGTAGTGCTGGTCGTGGACCAGGGACTGACCCGTTTCACTACTACTGCTATGCAATGGAATAAGCATTATTTTGTCTACCTACAGTTAATTCAGTCTGTGTTGACTAAGAATTGCCCCCTTAACTTGGATTACTTGGTCTAATGATTAATTTAGGGTAATTCTGGAAGGCAATCAGACCATATCACACTAAAAATTATAGTAGCAACTGCAACAATATGTACATTATACATGCAATGCCAGGCTATATCACATGTGGTTAAACTTTACATTGGTTATTCAGACAATAAAGCATATCTGCTAGTGCTTTAACAGTAAATAGCTGGACAGCTTAACACTTGCCATTATGCACACACTGAAACTGGATAGTGATTGGATACTGATCTCCACAGATCCAGCCAATGGTGAAATGCCACAGCATTCATGTCCCAGCCTAACAGCAGTCATGATGACATCATTCCATAACAGAAATCGTATCTCTAAGTGTGTGACTGTGTGCAAGGCGGAGCCCTGTGCTGGACTGGCATCAGGGTGTTCTCCGTCTTCTGCCATGTGATTCCTGGGACTGATTCCAGCCTCAGTGTAACCCTGTACTAGATAAACGTTTATAGTACATCTCATAATTCCGTTGTAATTTTTACAATGACAATAAAGCCCTTCTATTCCATTCTAATCTATTCTATTCTGTTGTAGATTGATGAATAGGTTTACAGTTTATTTTCTCATTATAGTTTAGAGCTAATTGTTTACCCTATCTTCCTCATTTGTAATATTCATGGCTCATTAATTATTACACAGCATTTCCTCAAAGCCCTGAGATACAGGATAACTCAGGGGCTCAAAACAGGGCGTACCTGGCATCGCCGAGATCACATTTGTTGCCAGCAATGGCCACGACTATGTTGGGGGGGCCATGTTGGCGCAGCTCCTTCACCCAGTTCTTCAGTGTCTGAAAGGACTCCTGGGGGGGGGCAGGGGGAGGTTAAGTCCTCACATTACCGCCATTTCAGCCACACGGTGCATGTTGCTGACCATGTGTCACCAATCCGTCTTTGTCATAACCAGCTCTGAGGTGCCCCCAACACGGCTAATCCAGGCGTTTTACTGGGCTAGAAAAGCCTCGGTTGCTTCTTTGAATTATTTTCCCCACCTCAGTATTAAAGACAAACCAATTAAGATTTAAAGTGGCCGCAGGTATTTTAAAACCAGAGTCTGATATGACAATATGGTAAGCAGCAGCAAGCTATAGCGTGTCAGCTCTGGAATTGTGAAGTTTAAGATCATGTGCCCCTTGAACACCATCCATGTGGTCCAATGACACATCATCTGAGCGTTAAAACAGTGTTTGGGCTCATTACGGAGCAGCACATAAGAACCTCCACATGGAGATTTCAGCCTATCATGTTAATAAATGCTTGGACTTCATCCAGGGTCCAATGTGCTTGAGACCCCATTAAAACTTCAGCATTAACTGGAAATAGATTTAAAAACAGTTCCATTCACAAGTTCCACTGATGGTATGACGACTTCGTGTTTAACCAATTAGGGAAGGAGACGCAGGCAGCGGTCGCCTTGGTTACGGTGTCCACTGAAATGATTCCAACTCTTAGGTGGCTTTGAAAATTCCACATTTGGTTCAGAAATGGCGCACATAAAATGACAGCGGGAAGCAGGTATTAAAAAGAACCGGCTGGTTCCAGCACAGCCAGTCAGTGGAAGAGAGATCTGCTTGAGACACTTCCAGGACCCCTACAGCTCTCTGGACTTAGGTTATGGAGAAATCGGCATGTCTCTAGCTGTGTACACCAGAGTCCCACAATCCTCCTCTGGCACATTTTCATCCACCTCCAAACCTACCAGGCTAAAGCAGCAAGCGTAGGAGGTTCAAACCACTTTCAGAACCCAAAACTAAGGCCTGCCCTCATTTCCTGGGTGGTTATAGGGATCCCAAACGGCCTGCCAGAGGCGTGTGTTCAGAAGGCTTTGCTGGAAGGACGGAAGCCAGGAGGGGAAGAAAAAAAAAAAGGGGGCGCCAGTAATTGATCAGGGCTCAGCATGTGTGAAGCACCTCCAGGCCAAGATGGAGCTGCACACGGCGGGAAACCAAAAGGGGGCTGGTGTGGGGTGAGCTCCCACTAACACTGCGAGGCAAAGAGAGTGTCGGGATTTAAAGGATCTTGATTGTCTAATGAGCCGTCCTTTATGGTCCTCCACAAAAATCAATGTCTATGCTTTGCATGAGTAATTCCAAATAAATGATGGAGGACATTATTTGATCCCGCTAAATAACACAACAGCCCCTCATCTTGTCAGTACCACTTCCTCACTGATGTCTGTGGTGACGAGATTCATTTTTTAGCTGTACATCGCCCTTCCCAACAGCCGACTCCAAATGTGTGTAGAGATTGCAGTGGTTAATGGCGGGAGGGACGGGAAACGGTACCTCTTTCGTGATGTCGTAAACGATGATGGCGGCAGCAGAGCCTCTGTAGTACATCGGTGCCAAGGCTCGGAACTATCAGAGGACAAGAGAGAGAGAGACAGAGAGCACAGGGATTAAAGCATTTCAATTTAAATATTTCACATATGACACAGCAAAGTCCAATAGAGAATAATTTACATTTTTTTAACAGTGAGTTATGAGGCTGCTTTATAGGATGCTGAATTCTTTTCCTGGGCTTGGACTCTCAGATCATCACTCCTGTGGAATGCAAGAAATCCTGCAGAGCGCTGGCCAGGTTTGGAGGTCACTGCAGAGATGAGTAAGGATGTGCCCTGTTCTTCTACTGAAGGTCACAGGTACTTGGAAACTCCTGTCCCTGTGGAGAGTACCCGACGGCTAGCGAACAGCCCCCCTCTCTTCCCCCAACTCATCCACCGCGATGGCCATCATGTGGAAATGCCTACAGGTGAAACCATGTGCAGTATAAATAGCCTGAGGGTCACCAGCGGAAGGCTGCTCCTGCTCTTCCACAAAGTGGATTTTTCTCGTGGCTGTCAAGCCATGCAGGTGATTTAGTCTCATGAAATCACAGAAGATCAACAGCTCCAGAAGACTTCACAGCTATACCACCAAAGAACATTTAACCCAACAGCCCAAGGCCTCGCAATTCCGGGGTTTGACCATCGTGGATCCTATCCGAAAAAGACCTTCACCCTGAGTGTGGAATCCATCACAAGAACAATACGTGTCAAACGTCAGCATGAATACCCCATATGGAAATAAACTCTGCACAATCATCGGTGTTTAAAGATATTCTAATGTACCCCTTTTTGCGGCAGATATACCCCCCCACCAAAAAAAAAGACGTATAATATTTTCCAGAAGCTCTTCAGTTCTGGCTTGAGCATCTCAGCCCAATTAGCCAAGGCCTGCCTCAGGAACACACCAAATGAAACACACATTTCGGCACATTTTTTTTTATCCTTATCCTTGATAGTTCTCTAATGCGCCGCAGCTGCAGAATTGGCTGGCCCGTCCGCGCTCTGTGTCATCCGCCACAGTCGGAACAGGATTTCACGCTTTCTCCCAGACGGGCGGCTATCATTTGTGAACGAACTAGCCGTTTTGGGGACTGTGGATGCAGCTCCTGACTCTTGCCGCTGTGGGCAGATTCCCCGCATTTTGATTGATAAGGATGGAGGTTCGGGGCTTTCAAGTCGGAGCCTGATGCTAAACAGACGTGACCGAAAATACCGCATGATCAAATACTTTTCCTTCTGCCAAGAAAATACATCTAGAACCTGAACTCTGAACAGAATCCAACAACGTGACTCCGATTGAGACAAGTGAACAGCAAAATCACCACCACTAAAGAAGAAATCTAATAATCTAATAATAAAAGAGCCAGCAGACAGGAGTAGCTTCATGTGGTTTCATCTAATGTCTGTTAAATCACATGTGGAGCGACTGAGGACATGATGGCCTTCATCTCTGCTTCAGAGAAAGTCGTCACAGAGGGTTACTTAACTATGTCCATCGCATGAGAAACGGAAGAAAAAAAAAAATCATCTCCCATAAGCTCTGAGTCCTTTTTCTTGGAAGACCCTCATATGTAAATTTGTTCTGACATCTTGAGTAAAATTCACATTTTTGCCCGGGTCGAGAGCAGTGCGGATCCCGTTGAGCATGACCTCTCCCGTCCCAAACGGAGGCACGGCGTTGCAGTTCTATAAACCAGTTCAGTTTCTTGAGTGTGTAGAGTAATCACCGCACTGCAAAAAAAACGATGTCCTATGAAAAATGGTCTCGGGTAGGCGACAAACATCTATCCACTTCTAATCAGTGCGACAGATCATGGAGGAAAACTTACAAAGACGTGCAAATAAACCCCAGCTGACAAGAAGAAACAGCAGAAGGATGTAATGGAGGTGATCTGAATGGTCTGCCCTAAATTTCAATGGTCAGGATTCAGTCATCACTCTTATGAATACATCTCCCTAATGCAGCTGCAGGCAGGTCCTCTGATTGGAGTTGGAACAGGCAGAGGACAATAGCTATTCTGCAAACAAAAAAAAAGGGTTCTGTCCTGGACAACCTCTGACCACCTTCTTACAACACGAGGACCTCAGGCCATATTAACCGCCTGAAAATGTGCATCCTGGGCCAACTTCAAAGTTCCTTATTTATCACACGCAGTCATACTCATACAATGCGCAGTGAAATGCTTGTTCTGGCAGTTTCATTGACTGTGCTATATAAATAGGAAATGCATAATATACAGCGGTACCTCAGTACCAAAACTCATTAGAATTTGAATTTCTTAAAAGTCGAACCAACCAGTTCGAAAAAATAATGACCTGGAACTCGATCTGAATCTCAGAAGTTGAACCGTGAACGCCGACCTAAGATAACTTGTACGCGCTGGGAAATGAGTCACGCGGCACGTCTCTCAGTGGAAACAAAGCGTAACGCTTGTCTCAGCTTCGCATTCGCTGTGAGAGCATCGTTTGTTGGTGATAGTGCTTTTTTTATTGAAAATATCAGGTAATACACTGTACTTTATATCATTTTGGTAGCCATTGCACATTGTTTGGATACATTTATTTTCTTACTTTACAAACTTGTCACGCCGGGCTCGTACGATCCTTCTGTGTGCCACACCCCCCTCGTTAACCTCGTGTGAAATCCCCATGTCATCAGCTGTTTCTCGTTATTTCCAATTAGTCACGTGTATTTAAGTCCGCGTTCAAGTATGTTTCCCCAGTCCTGTCACTGAAGTCTACTCCGTGTTGTGCCTTGTTTGCCAGCAATGAACCCTGTGTTCTTGGATTTCCGTCTGCCTCACCCTGATTCCGCACTCCCTGCTCAGTCATCCTGCACGCGGTGTGACAAAATTACTGTTTTGATAAGTGTGCTTAGATGTGTTTAGTATATGTTCTTCTTGCTTTATCCTGTTCATTTTGTGTTTAAATGAAAAAAGAAAAAAAAACCTATTTAGGTGTAATTCTTTGAGGCCGGGAACCAATTAATTGTTTTTCCATTATTTCTTATGGGGAAAATTCGATCAGAACTCAAACTTTTTAGGATTCAAACCAGAATTCTGAACGTATTAAGTTCAAGTTCTGAGGTACCACTGTATTATACTAAGTAATGTGGACAGTAACGCGGACACTATTCCGTTCTGTTGTGGTGAAGGAGGAGCTGAGCCAGAAGGCAAAGCTCTCAATTTACCGGCCGATCTACATTCCTATCCTCACCTGTGGTCATGAGCTCTGGGTAGTGACCAAAAGAATGAGATGCAAGTGGCCGAAATTAGCTTCCTCTGCAGGGTGTCTGGGCTCAGCCTTAGAGATGGGGTGAGGAGCTCAGATGCTTGGGAGGGGCTCAAAGGAGAGCCGCTGCTCCTCTGCATTGAAAGGAGCCAGTTGAGGTGCTTCAGGTATCTATCTCAGATGCCTCCTGGACGGCTCCCTGGGGAGGTGTTTCGGGCATGTCCAATTGGGAGAAGGCCCCGGGGCAGACCCAGAACACGCTGGAGAGATTATATCTCTCAGCAAGCCCGGGAATGCCTTGGTATCCCCCAAAGGAGCTGGAGGACGTGGCTGGTGAGAGCAAAGATTTTGGGCCCCATGAAAGCATATATTGGGCTCCCCAGTGCAGACCAATCCAATTATTTTCCAAATTTTGTCCACTTAGGGGCCCTTGGAATCGTCCTAACTTTCTCCCCCTTATGGTGCCCCTGAGTGAGAGGGAGGTCTGGGCATCCCTGCTTAGACTGCTGCCCTCATTACCTGAACCTGGATAAGCGGCGGAAAATGGATGAATGGATGGATGGTACAAGGCATAATATATTTAAAGTATACAAGAGTATAAAATTACTAAGTATAAAAATATAAAACACCAAAAAAAACCCAGTAAGACAGAAACAATAACATTAATACACATGGATCCCTGCCACACAGCACGTATATATTCTTGGGGGGGCAGGTGACGAAAGTCCAGTTTGAGTGAGTCACAGCCTCCCAGACTAAACAGACATTACAGCCCTCATAGAAGCGTAAGTTATAATAAACCTCTCAGAAGCGTCCAGCATGGGGGGGGGGGGGTGAGGAAGCTCCAGTGGTATAACAGATCATGCCATGTTCTGCACGGGACCCCTATATGGCAGTGCAGCTATCGCCCCCTGCCAGCCAGAATGTGTTACTAACCGCCGCTTTTGACAGCCAGTGCTCACAGCACTGGCCCACAGAGGACGCGGCAGAGTCCGCGGAATGCCGTCTGCTGTCCATTACGCTCATTTTTCAGATCACAAAAGAAAAATAATAATCACCTTTTCTGCATTAGATTATACACTCCGGACATAGACCAAAGTCAAATAAACCACTGAAAATGCTTTTTGCGTAAAACTGAAAAAATTGCAATTTTTATTGTACTTGCTTAGTTTTACCCAAAGAAAATGACTGTTTCACCATTTCTATTGCTTTATTTTTTACTAGCACAAATGAGATTAAACACTTAAGGGTACATTAACCATAACCAAAACACTACCTACTGCCAAGCTCATAGTAAACAGTCTGTTGAAAAAAAAAAGTACAGCAAGTTTAAAAAAAACTATATACTGCACTATAATGTGATCCTAAGAGCATGAGCCTGAAGCACAACTAAAGAACTCCCTTAATTGTTTGCATAAGTGACAAGGTCAGCCCCACCCACCAAACCACTGGTTTCACTTTCAGATTCATGTTAATCTCTTAAATCTGTTACAAATACATAATTATGACCCAGAGGCTAATCTTACTGGCACACAACACAGGTAGCTTGGTAGTTAAGAATAGACTCAATAAACCAAAGTTTACAGGGTCGAGTTCCAGACAGTGAGGCCTGTTGTTAGACATTCGACCCAAATACTTCCAGGTAAAAATTTTCCAGCTATAAAAATGGGTCAAACGTGCAAGATGCTTTAAGTAAAACCTTATGAAACAAAATTACTGTTGCTGTTGTGAGATACTTCACAATAGATACATGCTATTAGCGGTCGATGCTACGCAACACAGAGTCTAGGGTTGATGCCAAAATGGCTGCCATTTCAGTCACCCATACAGTTTCTGCTAAACCTGTCTGCACGCCCATCCCTCATTGGTGCCCCTGTTCCATCCCCCCACCCCCGTGTCACACGCTTCTGTTTCCCACCATGCTTGAGCAGGTCTAAGAATGTTTCAAATCATTTGATGCTGTATACAGAGCACTGCACCTTTAAGCATACAAAAGATGTAGCGATCAGTCCTGCTATCTGATCCTGGAGATTACTACTGAGAAAGAGCATAGTTGTCGGATGACATTCTACGGAGAGGGCAGATCGTAAAGTATGCAAGGTGGAATGTAAGATACCAATGACCTGAGACTCGCCATTGACCAATCAGCAAAATGCGTGAAACATGAGTTCCAAGAGTTTGTAAAACAGACAATTTAGTAATGGAACAAAGGCGAACACTTCTAGCAAAACAAAGACGATAAATCATCTACCTTTCCTGGGCATTGTTTAAAAATTTTCAATGCCAGCACCAGAATGATACCTTGATTTCAATACCGGTTCCTGAACAATGCTTTTTTTCGATACCAATATATTTTTTAATCAATTTCAACAACAACAAAAATACATTAAACATTACAGCACTAATCTTTTATTTGAACACGTTGTTTTGTTAGTTATTGGGTAGTTACTAGGGGGCTCGATAGCAATCATAACAGGACAAAGCCATTCATTTATATTTTACCAGGGCTCTCAAGTTTCATCAAAAGTTTGGAGTGAGATTACATCTGTTAGGGGCGGAGCCTGTGTCTCACGGTCAATGTGTGACACTTCAGAGCCCTGCCTACCACATTCATCGGATCTTGCTCTGCCACTTACACCTCGTCTGCATTCTGTATATGTGCGTATCCAAGTAATAACGTGCTTGCAGCGGGATCACAAGCAACAAATACTATTTTCTGATTGGCTGGTAGGTGGTTATTAACTAGCTTGATTGGGTCAACTATGAACTCAGTGGAAAACTCCACTCCATATGCCTGTGCCTCATCCATTAATTCTCCATAACGGGGCACATTGGTGGGCATCATCCATTACTTCTCAGCGCAAGAAACACGAGTTGTGGTGTGTGAGCGTGTGAACTGGTTGAAATGCGTGTCTCACAGTCAATGCGTGAGTCTTGAGAGTCCTGATTTCACTTATATGACCCATGACATGTTTATAATTCATAAATAAATCTGGCCAGCAAATCGATCTTTCATTTTCCACAGAATAAAAAATGATGTAAGGTTATCCCTCTAATAAGCCCTGGCACTGTTCACTGCTGGCACTGGCTGGAGACGCAGGCAAAAGGTATTCAACCCTAATGAGGTATAAAAATAATTCCATCGACTGTTTTTTCTTCTGCACTTCTGCGCACCTTCCATGTTAGCGCCGGTGCTTGTGGTGAAGCAATCACCAAATACTCGCTGTAAGCGCCTTCACAGTAGTGCCTCCGAGGAATTGAATTGGACCAAATTCCAATGGTCTTGCTCACACACACGCACACACATACACACAAATTCTCGCTCTCTTTAAGTGTTTCACGTGATATACGTCGACGTGGTCAGCCACTATATGGGGGGGGGGGGGATATCTGCAAGTTGTGCTGGTGCACATACTGATAAAATTTAGTCGCACTGTCTCCAAAAATGGTTGCAGCCTGGTTGCGACAAATGAAAACAACACCACATACGAACCAGTTACCAGGTTTCTCTCATACGTTTTTCCTCTGGCCTATATGACGTGCTCACCAGCGACTTTAGATGTTTTAGAAAAGAAAACCAACTGCGAAAATATAAATAGCAGAACTCAGTAATTAATTTAGAGTAAACTCAATAGTAATGTGAAAATTCGGCTAACCACAGGATTTGAACTGGCAACCTTCCGATCACAACCACAAAGGCTGAACCCTCTGAGCCGCACACTGCCCCTCAAGTCAATTTGTAATCTGCAGCTGCATTATATATATATACACAAATAAAGCAGGTTTGCTTCGGTCACTACAGGTAGCACTTGACCTCTTTGCACAGGTCAAAATCTTAGATAAAAATACGACAAAGTCATCATACAAAAACACAGCAACCTTTTCAAACTGACTTACATTTGTCGTTTGTCTGCCACCATGTTGCCTTCAGTGCCCCTCCGCAGACCGTAATCTGTCGCATTTGTGCTGCGTGCATGCACAGCCGCGTGGCGGCTGCGGCTCACTATTCCCAGCTGTCAGCCAGCGACCGACAGCAAGTTCTGCATGTTTGATTGAAGCAGTTACTAGGCACTTCTCCTGAGACTCATAAGACCCACAGGAAATGTTTATGATATAATTTATTAATGTATTATTTCTTATTTAAATGTTTTATTATATAATTAATTTTGTTTGCCGTAAGTTATTAAGTTTTGGAGTTGCATTCTCCTAACCCTAGTTATTCCCCATTGGACGTGTGTATTTTAGTGCATGAGTTTAGTGAACACAAGGTTCTTCAGGAATGCATTAGTCTCATTATAGCAGGACTGACTATACCTGTTTATTTGTTTGAATTTGAATGAGCTGCTGGCTGAAAGATGACTTAAAGCATTGCTTCTAGTGGCCCCAGACCCAAAACAACCATCGTAGCCATTTAAATACTTCATGAAGCTCACAATAACATGAAGATCAACACACAATTGAATCATTTTCAAAACAAGACATGTAAAAAGTGAAGCTGAAACTAAAAACTAAGAATATTCAAGGCCCCAACACCTTGAGTAGCAATGCCACTAGCTTTATCCAAAAGAGCGAACACATTCCCAACTGGAACCATACTAAAATCAATAGTTTTTATACAAATAACTAGGAATGTACCAATATAACGCTAGAATGCGTGTCGGGTCCGATCCTTGGCTCGTGCCCTTGTGACAATGTGTCGATACTATAACCAGTGCCACATACAGTAATGGGACTTCAGCAATGTCAATGAGCAAAGTAAAACAGACAAAATATCTGCGGTGTGGAAAAACTTCAAAGTCAACAACAAAATCCAAAACGCAGCAGACTGCAAACTCTGCTCTACTAAACTATCGGAAGGAGGCACAAAAATCAGCTTCATGCAACACAAGTAGTACTAAACATAAGAAAGAGTATGACGAAACCGCCACCAGCAACACACTGCAACAAGCAAGCATGCAGCTAGCAAGGGGAGTTAAATAACCCTCATACAGAACAGAAGCTTCACCCCATATTGGTCAGGCACAATGTCATAATGGTGGTACATGGAAACTGCAATACTTTCTGAGGTAGTACGCGGTGTAAAAAGTTTGTGAACCACTGTTTTAGAGCTTTCAGGGTAACATGTTTTTAAATCATAAGTAATCTGCCGATCCATCATCTTCCAACGAAGCTAAAATGATGATCAGCAGTGTTACGATCAGCCTGAGCCCCACACCACGGGTGGAAGGTCTTAATGCCGGATGTTTAGTGGATTTTAGGTATATTAATATTTTTTTTAGGCTTTCACCTTTTTGGGGGCTCAAAAATTAAATATCAGACACCAATAAAAAGATGGGGGGAAAAAATAGACAGGAATTGCTCACCCTCTCTTGTCCCGCTGTATCCCAGATAAGGAATTTGTGCAGTTCATTCTGGTACTGAACCGTCTTTGTCATGAAGGATGCCCTGGAGAGCACACGGTTTAATGCACACACTTTAACTGGCATCTGTGCTTACAGTAAAAAAAGAGCTGGAATATTTCCCCTATGTTTGGGGCACACCGAGTTAAAACTACTACAGTCACAGAAAACCCAAGTGTTATTATACGTCACTAACATAGAGAACTCACCCAATAGTTGGATTAATGTTTGGGTCAAAGCTGTCTTCCACAAACCTCCACACAATGCTCGACTTTCCAACACCAGTCTCCTAAATGAGAAAAATGCAGCGTTTAGACTACACATTTATTCTTAAATATCTTTTTAAACTACCCTTAAAACAGCCAAGCTTTACACCTGTTTATAACCAGTACACACTATATGTATGTGTGTGTGTGTGTGTGTGTGTGTGTGTGTGTATATATATATATATATATATTGGGGGGGGGGGGGGGGGGGGGGGGGGGTGTTTATAATAAAAAAAAAACACACACACCAAAGCACTTAATAAAATTGCTTTCTGAAGTGCCTATATTTTACAAGGTAAGTGAATATTTAAGATCACAATCGAATATGCAGCTCCGAAATAGCATCAACACCGCAAGGGAATTTCCCCTGTGGGGATTTAATGAAGATCTATCTTTACATCTATCTATGAAGTGGTTTCCCACCACTCAAGTTATACTTTAGCTTAGCTTAAACTTTACAGTTTAGGATTATAACATTTCTTCACTCTGTTCTGAAAGTCTACGTTTTTGTTAACATTACATAAATAATCATTCTTAATATTTAAAGTGACATCATAGCAAGAAATGATACAGTACACACCACACACGAATTGTTCATCTAATTACATAGCCAATTTATTTTTTGTTTGGATTTACTGTACTTTGTTTCTTCTTTAAAAACAACAATATCCCTCAAAAAAGACTCTGATATCTGATCGTGCAGTTTCTTTATTCGCAACGTAACTAAATCTTCCAAATGATTATGAGGGAAATGCTAAGCTATTTAACGCAACACTGGAGATCACCAACTCATCTTTCCAAATTAACACCCCACTCTTAGAAAGCTATAAGTCTTTTAAATGTATACTAGAAATACAACATAACTACTTAACATTTAATTAGGTGACAGCGTGCTAACTTACATTAAAATCGAATCCGAATGTTTACCTCACAGCTCAGGCTACTCAGTAATCTAACGGGCTACACGTCATATGTTAAGTAAAACTGAAACGGGTCGAAAACGGCTTACCCCAAGAAGACAAACTTTCAGCTCTCTCAATGCCATGCCGATCCACGAAAAAGTAAAACGTTTACGGACATGCCACCAACATTAAACACAACTTCAACCTTAACCGATAGTCAGGTAGCTACCGGGTTCTCACACACACGCAAAGGCAGCACGTTTAGTTGTCGAAAAGATATTAATCAAAACATTAAAGGGCTAGCGCCTGTTTAGCTACATATGTTCTTTATTTATATATATAACAGAAGCGCCAAGTTTTGTTTTATTTAGTACTACTGGGAGTCTCGTTGATCTCGCTAACGTTGTAGCACAGCAGACGCCATCTTGGAGTTCAGTGGACGCGTCACGTGACCCGAGCGGGTTTTTTTCCCCTACGGGTTATGTTAACAAATATATAATTCCCCCCCCTAAATACAGTATTAGTATTCTTCGTCGCACACTTTTGGCATTTTGTTAAACTGTGTTTCGACTGTGGTGAAATATTTTTTATTGAATTAATATTGGAGGAACGTGACCTTCAGGAAGTGGTGAAGCTCACCCTCTCTGACAGGCGACACCGAGAAAAAACTCAAGATGGCAGGTAACGTCGAGACATTTAATTTGGTTTAAACTTTACTTGAGAAAATGTCGAGGCTTTTTATTCTGCCTTTTTGATAAGCTTGCTGCATATATGCGTGGAGTTTGACTGTCGCGTTTCACTTTCTCCAAATTTCGCTACCTGCTAACCGCTTACTAAGATCATGCAAAGTCTGGTCAGCTGATATAGCAGCTAGTTACTTAGCTAGCTTGATGAAGAATAAAGGCTACTTTTACGTGTTTGGAAATGGTAATTCTAACTCTGTATGATAGAATTAACGTGTCATTTAACTAGATGATGCATCCTAAACATGCTATTTAAATTAAATGTCATGAATATTATTGAAATTAATAACTGGCACCGCGAGTTAGCTACTTTGCTAGCTTGTTGACAACCTCCAACATAGTTGTATAGTATAAATACAATGCATATCGTTATTAGGGATTTCTTTATTGTTAACCAACATGAAATAAGGAACACAGAAATCGTAACGAAGAATCCCTAGTTGTTTTTTCATTGTTTTCCCGCCCAGCATAAAGCAGACCTGTCTTTTTGCAGATTTGGCGTTGTTTTGATTTTAAGATTTTGTTGAACTGAATTGAATCCTATTATTGTCACTTTACAAGTCCAAAGAAACTGAATATGTTATTCTCCCGTCTGTGCTTTAACAAATATGTGTTTTTAAATTATAGTTAGAATGAGTGTTATTTGTTGTCAAATTGTCATTACGTTATTTGCTGTATTTTCTTTTTTATGACACATCAGTTTTTATATTTGATATGACTGATAACTGTTTGAGTGATTATTATGGTCACTCGTTTTGCTAGCTCGGAGACTGGCTGTGTATTTACATTTTGTTGATCGTTATGGTTTATATGACCGGATGGTCATTTAAAGATGGCAGTGCATAACAAAAACGTGTTCGCTGGACGTACAAGACCAACTCGATGGTAAACCGCTTTTCTTTGTTAGATGCAGGTTTTGTGTTGACATCAGACAGGTTTTAGGTACTGCTAATATTTCATTCGCGATTCTTTGCACCTGAAGATGTACGTTATTAGGACAAAAGGCATTTGACAATCCATTTAGCATTTGATTCATACTGTGATTTAACACATAATAATTCTATACCACTGTAATAGATTTGAAGATGAACCTGATGTTTTTCTCCTTACACGTTTTGCTCAATACTTAAAGAAGACTTTAATAATAATGATCTTGCCTTTGTTCTGTGTCGTAACCTCAGAATGATGTCAGTTTGGTAAAGTATACTCTGTCGACATTTAGTAGCAATATCTTTATTGTTTTATTGTCATGATTAGTGTTGGTTGATATAAAACTTAGAAACGTGTTTCCTTGTGCCAGTTAGACGTGATTTGGCGCTTCCCGTACGCATTTTATCTCCTATTCTATCTTTAGATGGCTTTCTTAGAAGTCGTCAGATCGGATTAGTCCAGGTTAGTTGCGGGCGCAGTGTGCTGCGCGGTTTGCGTTAAACTGAGCCTGCGGATATTTAACAATGGGAAGCTGATAACTGGACGAAAAAACATTTGAGTTGAACGCATAGTTGAGGTTCAAGTTCCATATCTTACCTGTGCTGGTGATGGGAATTGTGGGAAATTGATTTATATTTACATTGTGAATTTTGTTTAGTACTTTTTATTGTTCTAATAATACAGAATATATATCATATGAATTTATTCCCATTGCTAACCACACATTGTTTCTTTTTGGGAAATAGGGACAAAATAAACCCAAAGAAAACCTAAAAAGTAAAAAAAAAAATTATGTTGCTTTTGACTCTTGTTGGATAATTATATAATTTTATCGCGCCGTAACCTCTGTAACCTCACCTATTGTCAACAAATTCGGATTGACTAGCTGTATGTAAACACTGCCAGCAGCTTGGTAAGAAATATTTAATTTGTAAGTTTGTAAAGCCAACAGTCTTACTTGCAGTTTCATTTTGTTCTTCAGGTCTGTCATTATACTTCGAGGATGGCCATGATGATATGGATGACTGTAAGTATTTGACCCACCAACCACAATAAAATAAATTGACTGCTGTGGTATAAAACAAATGTAGTGGTTCTTTGTAAATGTTGAATATGCCATAAATCATGACCTTTGAGGTGGTGCTATAACCTGTCAGTTGACCGTATGGAAACCTCAAATGGAAATATTCCTGTAAATCCCCTGTTAATACTTTCTTTCCAAGACACGTGTCTGATAACTGCATCCAGTTAAGGTTTGTCTTTCATATTCATCGTCAGCAAGATGAATTTTGCTGGCTGCCCAATAATTCAAAGTCCACTGCCAGGGCCCAGCTCTGCCCCACTCAGCCAGTCGATGGTAGCCGTCTTGCTCGCTGCTTCATGATGCGCAGTGAGATGAGCAGGCATTGGCTCACTAGCGTATCTGTCCTTTTAGTGCATTTGCATCACATGCAGGCAAACCGCACTGATAGATGGAAGTGAGATGTTTGACTCGGATATAAATACATCCCAGCCCAATCAGCATAATGGATAATTAATATAATTATACTCATAATTAATATACTACATTTTCAAGTGCAAATTATTACAATGTCCTTTAGATGTTCCCTAAGTGGTCAAAAACAGAAAGAGATTTTATGAATCTGTTCATTTTAATTAAACATGATCTGCTTCTTGTTAAGCCTGACATTTTAATGATGATCCACATGACATGTTATGAATTGCAGTGTTGAATTCCAGTGACCAACAAAGTTAAGATCATTTATTGCTTACTTTTAGACATCTTGGATGATGCAGCATGTTGTTATTACTGTCATTGTTTGCTGCAGTGTTTTATTGTTTTAAATTTTGTTTTAAGTCCTTTCTTTTCAGCCATTTGAAGCCATAATTTTGAAATGCACCAGAACATCATTATTGGATTTACAATCCAGGGGTGGGAAAATAGAACGAAGAAATGTGGGAATGGGGCAAATTTTACAAATGCATGTACCTCACAGGATGGACATGTCATTTCTGAGTAAAAGCTCTGATCCCACATCACTGACAAAGCAAAAACAAAATATACCCAAAGTACAGGCCGCGAGACACCAATGATTCACAGAATATGCTTACTGCATTGTAAAATTGGGGGGGGTCTATTTAAAATGTGACCGCAACTCTAATTGCAACCGGTCATTGAGATAAATCTACCGAACTCCTCCCACTCCCACCACACACACACACACACACACACACGTCTGTTATTATACCTGTTGACACCTGTTATTTCAGGAGACGTGGCCTGAAAATTTAGGAACCCATGCACTAACAGACATTGTGAACAATTTAGAGATATGCTAGATGAAGCTGATGACAACCCCTGCATCCCTTTCATCCTCTGCAGTGTCATGTTCTGTCAGTATCAATTTAGCGCTCAGTTTTCTGCTCCCGAACAGTCTGATTCAGTCCTTTGCAATTTTGAGTGCTACTATCAAAGTTTTATTTAAACCTCAATTGAATTGCAGGCCAGCGATGTAATGTGTTTTGCACATGTTAGATTTTTAGTAGCCGTTTGATCAATAAATCCCTTCTTTTCCCCTCCTCAGTTGGGTTTGATGATTACGGTTCAGACTGCGATGGAATCCGGATCACTGCCTTTCTTGATGCGGGCCAGGACAACCTCACCCCACTGGGACGGCTCGAGAAGTACGCCTTCAGCGAGAATGTTTTCAACAGGTAGGGAGCACTGCAGAAAACACTGGCTGTCGCTGGATGCGGCATCTGTTCTTATGACGTTAATAGACATGTCATATAAAATTAGTCTGCTGTGCAGTTGACTGTAACTGATGCCAGAATCAGGCATGATGCCACCTGTAACACGGCCATATCTTGCATTGTATATGTGCTGGTGTTGTATTTTTTTCTGTTTTTTTTTTTTAACTCAAGTGCCATTGATGTGGTTTGCAGCTAATCAAAGAAGCGTGGCAACCAGCCATCCCCTAATACAAAAGGGCTTAGTCAGCATTTAGAGCAGTGGAATAATTCTGCCAAAAGCAGTGGCAAACTTGCCCGTGGCCCCACGCTCCCTCCCCTCGCACATTAGAAACACTTGCAGTTCAGCGCAGGCCTTAAGCAGAAACAAAATAGTATATGTATATTTTTACAACGTGGCTGGCTGCTGGCCCACTGCTCAGCCAGCTGAAGTGTGAATTCCAGAGGCTGCAGCCACAGCTTTCATGTGCTTCATGCTTATTGCCGTCGCTGCTTTGCAGGCAGATCGTGGCTCGTGGTCTGCTAGATGTGCTGAGGGAGTTCAGTGACAACGAGAATGACTTTGTCACTGTCATGGAAACGGTCGCCCGCATGTCTGAGGATGGAGGTTAGTATTCAGTTAGTATCCAGCCACCCGGAGTGATGTTCCGTTGTTTATTTATGTATGCCATTAAAAATTAATGATTAAACCGCCGGTCCTGCTGGCTAAGAATACTATTTAATGATGTGTTGTTATCCAGCAATAATGTCCGATGGACTACATGACTGGTCCAGTAATCCATTCTTGTTAAAAGGTTTTCAGTTGTCTTTCAGCATCTTCACCATTTGACTGATTATATGCTGCAGTTGTGCATTTAGCATGCAATGCTCCCAGTATGAACTAACCTGATATTAGCACTTCAAAAAACAAATAAACAAATAAATCGTGTGTGTGTGTATACATATATACAGTGTAGTCGTGTAGCCAAAAACTATTTGTGCACTGTGAAAAAATGGTTGATGAAACTAAAGAAACTTTT